GTGGTTTTAATTAATGAATGACATATTTATTTATTTAATTCCACATTTAATTATTTATTTAATGCTGTATTTATTTATTTAAGTTTGGAACTTTTTATCCTCCATAAAATACAGGCTTCATATTTCTTTTTTAATATTTTTTTTTTTCTAAAGGTATATTTAGCCTGAAAATGCTCCAAAATGAGACTTGGAAGGCATGCTAAAACGACTACTTAGGACATATTTGCACCAATTTCAGTTTTTTAGCAAAACAGCTAGTTATTCCTGAAATTAAAATAAAACCAAAACAACATGTTTAATAAAAGACAAATCCTTTGTCCTTTTTATTTTACAAATATTTTATTTTGTCAGGCAAAGTGTTGCCCAAAAACTGAAGAAAAAAATAGCGACTCAAAAACCTTGAATTAAAATCTAGGGCTTCATAAAACTCTTAGAGGGACCTCTACCATGCTGCAGAGAACCCTGGTCCTAAAAGTTTGCAACGGAACATTGATCAGAATTAGCTTTTATTTAAAAAAGAATCAAATTTCTCCTTGATTTTTCTAATTTTACTGGTTTTATTTATTATTTTTTTAAAGGCATCCTTGTCACAGGCTGCTTTCATGGTAGAATATGGAGTATTTTTGTAACACGCTATATATAAAGTAATCTCTTGAATTTGCAATTAAACCATCATACTCCTACCTCCAGGCTTCTCTGTTAGGTCTCTGCTTTCACTAGCGAACTTTTGGAGGAATTATCAGCATTAGAAGTTGAACAAAACCGTCTTTATTTTGCTTTAGGAAATATATTTCCAATATCCTTCTAATTTGTTTAATATTAAAGTTACTGTATGTTCTCTTTTGGCAGGTATCCGCAAAGAGCGTGGAAACTGCAGGAGCACTCTGGCGAGGCGAGTGACCCGTTTGTCCTCTCAGGGTCGAATTAACAGACCTAAGGTGTTGACCAGACCAGTAGAGAGTTCATTAAATGAACCTTTACAACCTGGACTGACCCCAGAGCAACTGATTGAGCGAATCATAGAGGCGGAGCCTCCAGACATCTACCTCATGAAGGACATGAAGAGGCCGCTGACAGAAGCAGACGTGATGATGTCGCTGACAAACCTGGCTGATAAGGAACTCGTTCACATGATCAGCTGGGCCAAAAAAATCCCAGGTATGTTTAGCAGCTCTAGCTAGTTTTCATTATTTGCTTTCTTCTTTGTAAGCACCCTAAATATGTATACAGACATTGATTCATCTTTTATTGAAGCAACATTATTTCAAACTTGTAGAAAAATATAAACTCTTTTCTCATCAATTTGCAAAAAATGAAATGCAATAAAAAAAAATTCCTTTTAATTTAATTTCTTAAATTGATCAGAATTTCTAGAATCTATAGCCTGACGTAGTCCTACTCAATTCTAGTCAGAATATGAGTCTGATACTGCTCCATAGAGCTGTGATTATGGGGAGTGTTTTGAACAAACCAGGAAAAAATATGCCTCTGCACTCAATTGGATAGACCTACAACCAATAAGAGCAACGGAGTGC